GTGGCACAGATTATACTCTGGTAGCATGGCTTTATGTCCATGAGATGGGATTTACCAAGGGTAACTTCCCAAATGTGGGTACTTGAATCACCCACAGCCTTGCTCCTCCCTGCACATTACTCTGGTGAACAGATGTGATCTCTCTCAGTTAATGCAAATCTGTCTGGAAAAAAAATCCATTCCCTATTTTGTGTAGGCCATGACACGTTATCAAGATGGCAGAGTGGTCATGGACATCCCCAGCTTCACCTGGCTCTCCATGGTAGAAGACAAAATAATTTGAAAAACCTCTCAGACCACCCTCTAAAGCAGGATTGTTTTAGCATCTGCCAATTGAATCCAAGGAGAATAATTTTATTGGGGTTGTAGCTGTCACTTGTGAAAGCCTAACTCTGGTTAGTCTGCTTTCCATGGGACATACTTGCTCTCACTCTGCTTGCACTGATGTTTGGAGTAGTACCCAAGTGGAAAATAGAATTAACATGTTGAGTAAGCTTTATTCCTCTTTAATTTGCTATCACTGTCATTAGGAGTCTTTTATTTTACTTTGGCTAATTGTTACAGGAACAGCAATAGAAATGTTACAAATCTGTGAGTTGGTTGTTTCATGGTACAGTTTTTCCATGGGATGAGTATTTTTCATTTATCACCAAGGAGTTCAGAGTGCTGGAACCTGGAGGCATTAGTAACTCCAAGAACTGAGTAACCCTCTTGCCATTCAAAGAGGCATAGAAATGAAGTTTGTTTCTACTTTGATAGATGAGAATTAGCAAAGTAGATAAAGATTCAGAGCCAGTTGGTACACATCAGGGAACAGGCAGTTACTTACAGATCCATGAGCTGGAAAAGCATGACCTTTTTAAATATTCTATTAACAAAACTTAATTTCTAGGTGCATAGTACCTCACCAGCAGTAAGGCTTCTCCTTGACCCTTCTGTCTTTGCTGCTCAACAATACCATTAAAAATGCTGCTTTTCCCTGTGGAGTTAATTATCTACCTAAGAATTTTGTAGAAAGTAAAAAAGGTATACCGAACTGTAGGTGTTTAAACTTTTACTAAACCTGGAAAATGAAACCATCTTCAGGTTCCAGCACAACTATATAAAAGTAATTCAAACTGGATGTTTACACCTATTTAATCACGTAAGCCCTTCTGCAAATTTGTCTGCAGTGCTCAAGCCACTAAAACCCAGCTTTTCTCTCTGTTTTTCCTTGCCTTTTCACGTAAGGTGGTATCTGTCTTTTAATTAGATGTCACTACTTCACCAGCTGTATCATCTGCCAAGTGCCTGGATAAACAGGATAACATAAAACCTCATTTCTTTGTAAGTTTGTATATTCAGAGATGCGCCCACGACTTTATTTCTGGTTGTCTTTGAAAACCCCTAAATGCTGTTATTATGCAGCCCATCCACGCTGTAAAAGCCGTAGCAGATCGTACCTCTAAACCTGTCCTCTGAAAATAAGATCATCGTCACTTTAGTCTTCATACAAGCCTTGACTTTCAGCTCTTCATCTTCCAACTCCCCCTCCTTCCTCTTCCAGCCAGCCAGCCAGAGCCAGGCTGTGTCATTCCACTAACCTCGGTGAAGGCACGCTGCTGCAATTTTTTTCCTTCAAATAATTTAAACCAGGCACAGAAAATGCTCAGAGTCATTACTACAGGGAACTTCAGGCACTATTAAACAAGAGAGCAGAGGAACATCCTTGAAATAAAACTCTTAAAACCTCGCTAGCAGCTTACCTTTTTCAAGTTAGCCACTCTGTCTCCCAAAACAGCTTTCTGAATCCTCTGTGGAGCTTTATTTGAAATTGAGGTTTTGCTTTTATCTGGATCTGTCTCATTACAGCACACCCCCCACAGGACAGAACTTAGAAGGTCAAACTGAGGTGCACACACAAAAATCCTATTAAGAGTCCCCAGCATGATGCTCACTGAAGGGACATTCAGCAGCAAAGGACCAGAAGCTTCCAAGTTTGTCTGTCTTGCTTAGCTGCTCTCTGATGGGTAGGAGCAGGGAGATATAGTTTTACAGCTTAGCTAAACATTTAAAAGCACTGTAGAAGACAAGATTTTAAAAAAAAACCAAACCACAACCAAACAACATGTCATTGACATCTAAATAAGAAGTGGAGCTGTGGGCACATCCATACTCTTTTCAGTTGGGTTATTTATCTTCAAGTATCCAGACTCTGGGCACAGATTTGCAAGGAGAAGGCAGGCCAACCTTCAATTTTTATCTGAGTATTAACAGAACTTACACGAATCACTAGCCAATTTTAACACATCTGACCTTGGGCTAAGCATAATGTAAATCACTTAAGAAGGAATAGAGATTGATAAATTGCTAGTTAAGAATACTCCTTGAGAAAAAGGTTAACTGTTGGATTAAACATTAAAAACTTCTGTCCATTCAATGTTCTTCAGAACTGCTGGACTTCATTATTAAGCATCGCAAAAAACAGACTTTCCCAATTAAAAAAAAAACCAAACCACCAAACCATTCTTAGCCAAACCAGCTTTTTTTTCCCTAAATGATTTCCCATTCAATAAAGTGTAGAAATAATTATGAGATATTAAGGATAATTCAATCTCGTGGGAGAGAGCAGTTTTAGTGGGTACCTGGCATCCAGCCAGGGTCAACCCACCACACAGAAGGAGAGGGAAGAAACAGGAGAAAAGAGACCTCTAAGAGAGGCAGGTAAAGAACTGCCACATTTGAATTGCAAACTTAGGGAGATCTAACTCAAAAACATATCATTTTGGTATTTTTTAGCCAGGAAAAAGGAAAAATAAAGACTTTGTCACATAAGGTGTTGCTGCTAAAAAATAAATCCTGTGAGATGAGCAGCTCAATTTATGTGAGCTGGTCTAACAGACAAATGCTGTCAGATGACAAGTGAAATTCAGTTTTTCTACAATTTACTTTTTTGTTTCTTTTTTGAATACAGGATTACACAACTGAAGTAATAATTTTAGGTCTGAAATTGTGACTATCCCAGTTGTTACAAAGCATTTTAAAAAAACCTATACACCAATGACCGACAAACAGATTTTCTACAACTACAACCGGACTTTATCGTCGCATCACAAAGGGAATTCAAAGAGGATTTGGCAGGTGGGTTAGGGGTTTGTAACTCCAGGACAGAGGAAAACAGAAGATGAGCAGAAGGGCTGGAAAAACGTGGGTGATGAAGCACTGCTCTCTGCCTGTGCTGCATCTCCACACAACCAGCACTGACACACAGAGACCACAAAAACACCCAACGTGGATAAATCTGCATTAGTGTCTTCACCCTCCCTGGGAAGAAAACACCCAAGGATAAGGATGATTTTCCACAGCAGGGAGTTGTAGCCACTTCTTAAACAGGTCTGTAGAAGAAGTACCCGATGCCACAATCTGGAACCTGCCTGCAGCAGAGGCAGCTGGAAGACGAGCTGTTACCATCACCTGGAGAAAGAAGTGTTTCCATGAACTGTGCAGAACGTACAACTGACCTGTCCAGCCACTGCCACGCTGGTTTGTTTATTTTTAATTCAGTTGCAGATCATTTGCATCTGTGGCCACATTGCCCATGTGCCTTAGGGTAAGGGATCACATTTTGAATGAAGCATTACTATCTCTCACTGGAAAAATTCAAGGGCATTTCTACTCTTAAGCATTTACTTTCCACTTTTCTCCCTCAATCGTTAGAACCCCTTTAAAAGAGTATTTATTGATCACATTTCCTATGACATTTAATTCTTAAGAGTCACAATTAGGAAATGTAAATCACCGATTGTGCTGTCAGATGAATCCCGTATTATTCAACTGCTAGGTTGAAAAAAAGCCACCTAAAATTGATGGGTTACTTCCACGGGATGCTGTGAGACACTGGCTATTAGATAAATATCCACTTGTATATTTAAATTGCTTTGAAATTCCAAAGCCTTCATCAAACAACCCTCCCTCAGGCTTTACATTAATTAGTCTTTTCAGGACATTTTCCTTCTGGTTAAATGATGGCAAATCCTTTGTTCTTTACAGAGCTTGTGGTTTTAGTTCTTATTTATTTATTTCACAACAGCACTTACTTTTTTCTTTCGCACATTTTTGAACCTTCTTTTTTTTTCCATTTTCAGCCCTGCTCCTGAGGGCTACATAAAATCTCTCCAGGGCTTTGCACTGCTCTCCCTTTGCATTTTCCTCCTTTCTTGCCTACTGTGGCAACATTTATATACAAACATAAAACCTGCAGAAGTATAAAGATGTTCAAGTTGAACAAGACCACCCAAAATGAAAGCAGTTTTCACACAGGAATGAACATCTTCATGAAACCCCCCCTCCCTTGAACAGTCAACCCTTGGCAGTCCAGAGTGTTTCTCTAAGAAGCCAAACCAAACCCACCCTTTCAGCAACTGCTCTTTTCTTGCAGTATTTTTTCTAAAACACTCACTTCCACCCACCTATGCCCCAACAGGCTAGTACAGAAAACCCGCAGGCACAACTAAATGAGCCATCACTGGATAAACAGGAGAATTTCCAATTACACAGAAAACAAGGAAACCGGCAACTGCATTCGATATCAGACTGGGTTCCTTTATTTAGATAAATGTAACTGCGTACAACTTTTTAATTCCAGAAGTGTAATAAAAATACGGTCTTTGGCGCTGCAACCCTGCAGCTGGAATTCCACAATTAGTCCCATTAGGATTTTCCTGATACTGCTGAGGTGCACTGGCACATGATTTAGCTTCTTCTTTCATAAAAAAAAATACTATGTAAGGATTTTACCAGCGGAAGAATAAGGCAATATTGAGAGATCATATTTATTGTTCCTCACAGCAAGACTTCACACTCATTTTTCTCACCCGGCAGTCTCACGCAACCCAAACCCATCTTTCCTTGCCTTCCTCACAGAAGTGAAGCAGCAGAATCAGGCAAAAGTATCCCAACAGTGCTCTCTGAAGTCCAGGCGAGTTTTTCACATCCCTGTGCGTGTGCATAAACACACACACACACAAAAAAAATCCAAGAGTTTACCATTTAAAAACAGTTATTTGACTTTAACTCCTCCCAGAGTTACGTGCCCAGGATGTTCACTGGAGGCTGTAGGTCTGCTGTGTGTCCTTCACTGACAGGGTTATGAAGAGGGACCGGGGATCCTTTCTGTTTTTGCGGACCGTGATCTTCCCTCTCAGGGCCTCCCCTGCAACAGCAGAAAGGAAATTACTGTGGTTACTGCACTGAAACGCACACAGTAACAGCAAAGATGCACGTGTTGCACGAGAAGCTGCTCCAAATTAATTAGGATTAAAAAGGCTGCAAAGGTCTCCCTAAAGTTTTCAAAGCCCTAAGCAGGGGCCTTGACAACAAACTGCAGTGAAACCTGGTGAGGGGTTGACTTCTGCTGGATGCCTCAGCTTCTCAGGTGGCCCACCCAAAGAGCTGATATGCCAAATATTGCCCTTGTGACCGGGGAAAAACATATGAACCATCCTGGAGGGAAACCACGTAACCCCAAAACCCCCTTCCTGCTGTATGTGCCTTGTGGTTTGCATTTGTGCTGCATCTCACTTAAGCTCTAACTGGGTGATGTTTTTGTCTGGCAGGAAATATTAACAGAAACCTTCATGGCATTTCATGTACAGACATTATTAATTGCAAGTTTTGTTGTACAGAGTGTCAGGCTCTCTTGATCATAACCCCTGATAGGAATGTCCTTCAGTTACATCCGGAGCAAATGCTTTTCCACAGAAGGAAAAGTAAACAATCTCAATTTATTTTCAGTCCTTAGATATATATATATACACACCTTCAATTTATACATATAACACTCTCTCTATATATATAAATATATATACATACACACCGTCAATTTAAGGTATATTTACAAATTTAGGAATATACAATATAACAAAACACAAACACACAAATTCGTAAATTTGTACCTTTAGGAAGCCCCCTTCAAACCATCGTTTTAAACCCACAAGCACTACATCTAAACAGATGAATGTACCAAAAACATCACAGGAGGGCATGATCCCAATCTACAGCAGTGGTTCTGTGTTATTCTTCCATCAGGCTTCCTTTGCCCCATTCATTTTCAGCCACACCTACTGTTACTACTTTTCTATCTCCCTGGATCCAAAGTATTTCCCAGCTGTTCACTACCTCCTGCGATGTTAAAAGCCAGTGGTAATGTTCTGCTAAAAAGCTTATTGCCAAAAAAAAAAAAAAAAATGAAAACAAACAGCAATTTTGAAACTAAGCTGGTTTCAAATCCGGGGAGGATTTGAGAGTTCTCCATTTGGCACAATTCTCAGTCACACCCCCAAACAGTGAACTGACAGAAGGCCCACATTGTAAGTCGAGGGTATTTTGTCAAAGGCTGCAGCATAAATACCAAAGAAAGCTTATCAACAAGAATGACTGTGGTAACAAAAATCAGAAAAAAAACATATTCTTTGATAATTTTTTTTAAAATCATTTAAAAGTTAGTTGGAGATTCCACTATAATTCCTGTGCAGCTTTGTTATTAGGAGTCAAATGACTGACATAACACGGCGCAATTTGCAAAGAACTGTGAAAATAGTTTCACAGATTATTTAAACAGAGATTTGCCAGACAGAAGGACAAGGATAAAAAAAAACAAAGGGCATCATAGCTTCATTTCAGGTAGGAATTTTAACCCAGTTTGAACACATAGATGTTCAAAACTGCTACGAAATGATTTACTTGATTTATTTTAATATCCTGTGATAACAATTCAGTAAGGCTAAAGAGCCTCTGGGAACCAAAATTCCATGATAGAAATTAATCCATACTTTCAATCTCCCAATTTAAAACACTAACAAAACACTATAATCCAAGCAAAAATTTAAATATAATTCCATAAATTATAGCTGGCTTCACAGAACAGAACCCTCAGATTCCGTTTGCAGGGGCAGTTAATGAAAACAAAGCATCCCATCCAGTTTTCCTCGCGTGGTAACCACATTTAAACCTGCCTTTCTGAACGAGACTTCTCTGAGGGCTGAGGCAAACAACAGCAGTGCAACCCAGTAACAGAGAGGCAGTTCTGACCAATTAATCAATGTCATGCAGATAGAAAATGACGGATGTTTTTCCCCCCACTCTGCTGTCCTAGGAGCTGCCTGGAGGAAGCTGGGACTGGGACTCAGCTGCATCACCTTGCTCTTATCACGCTCAGCTGGATGCAAGTAAAACCACACAGTGCCATTGCAGTTTGATTAGGACAAAACTGAATCCATTACAATCCCCCCCCTCCCCCCCTCCCACTCCCTGCATTTTTATTATCCCTTGGGGAGGCCTGAAATTTGTCCCCAAACAGCAAAAAGCAGAAGAATTCAGCAGAAGTGCTGCATCAGCTTGCTAGCACAGGAGAAAACACACCCCCGTGTCCATACTGACTCACAGTCAAAAAAACCCCACATTTGATTACAGGCTCTAAGGAACGCCCTGGACATGTGCTCAAACTCAAATCAGGTTATTACCATCAGCAGAACTGTAAGCAATGGCACCTGTCACTCGTGTTTGTGCAATACAATCACACCCAGGGCAGGCCTGCAGTCTGTGAGCCCAGGCACTTCCCAGTGCAAAAGCTCCATCACTCAGAGTGCTCAGACCCGGTAAATGATGGTTTGTTTCAGTGCAGAAAGGATTTGATCGAACCCAAAGGTTCCACACGGTCTCCCCTGCACACACATCCGTAACATCTACTCACAGCTTGAAATGCCCCATGGCAATGAGCCTGCAATGGGAAGAGCTCCTCTGCCTTTCAGTACAACTCGGTGTCTCCTCCCTCTTTGATCACAGAAAGAGCTCACTGGAACTGTTTCAAAGAGAGCTGCTAGAAAACTGCAGTTAGGCTAAAAAACACCCAAACTACTGAACTGCTGGTGAAAATTATTTTTACAAACCCCCTACACCGTAAAGAACCACTTAGTGGTAGTCACACATTCTTTCACAGCCACCAAACAGTAAGAGGGGACACCATTCTTCACAATAAGGTTGTCCTTGTTGGAGGCTGACAACTAAAACATGATTAAGTTTTCCACTCTAGCTTAGATTAACTGGACCCACACTGAGGTCTAGCACACAACAGAAAAAAACAGCAAGTCTCAAAAGCACTGCTCTCAAAGAGATGGGTAGAAAGTGGTTTCCATATCCCATCTATCTCATGAAAAGGAAAAACTGAAATAGTTTGTGGGGGGAACCAAGAGCACTTCCCTTAAGCTCGGTAACTTATCCTTACGAGGTTCTGCTTTTTCAGTTCATCCCTTGAGTATATTCTCAGAAGAGTTTCGGTAACAAACTGCCACGTTCCTTGCAGCAGCAGATCTTGCAAAGGGAGGCACACAAAACAGCACCAGAAGTCTATCCAAGCTTCCCTGTCTAGATACAGAATATCTATTATCTTTTCAGTGAGATAGAACAGCCATGGGAAGAGATTCAATTTAGTGCCTGAAACACACACTTAGAAATGTTTTTGAGAAGTCAGCAGGATCGTTTTAAACTGCTGGTTTTAAAAAACGCAGCATATGACATGCCAGATTTAGTGTGACCTCAAAATTCAAGTTTTAACATTTACCAGATTTTTAAAAGACAAGCATCATTTTTGGAGGTGCCACTTATAAATGAACAAGTGACAGCGTTCTACAGACACCATGTTGCAGCTGTAGACAGGCAAAACAGACACTAAAATCTTAATTAGGCACCAAATTATCCAACTGGGAGGCACAATATTGAAGTATTTCAGTATAGGATCAAAACGTTCAGACAGATTAATCGTGCCAGTGCTGTTTTCCTACTTTTAATAATGCTGTCTAGGTAGACAAATCAACATTCTCCGAGTCTGTAAATTTACAAACAGCTTTCCAATTACAGAGACTGAGGAGTTAAAGATAATCAAGGATTTTGCAGGGGCTCAGTCATGTGAGTTCTGCTCAGCTTCACTGTGCTAGCCCCTTCTAGCACCACAGAAAAACAAATCCGGGTTTTATTTTCACTGCAAGGCAATATCATGAACACGAAAACGCCGACAATATGCTGTTTTACTGCTAATAGAATCCGCTTGCATACAGATCTGAGTTTTCATTTAATGCACTGAAAAGATTCTGTGGGCCCTCTGAAATAATTTCTGTAAGCATTTTATTTATTTAGTAAATTCTTGAGACAACCTAATGAGATTGATGTGATGTTTTGTTTACTTAGCAGGAATATTTCAACAAACAACAAAAGGAGGAGACCATTAATAACATCATTTTTGGACCACTAATAAGAAAAAAAGATACTGCTTCGGCATCTCAATTTCAATCTTCCAAATAAAGAATGTTCTTTAGTCCAAGCTATTAAAAGGGCTGCTAAGAGAAGCCTTGTAGTCTGTATGGAATCTACAACACAATACTGTTTATCTGAGAAAACCCAGTTTGTCTGGCAATAAAATATATGGCTTCTTTCTCCAGTTTCTTTAATTTTCCTGGTTGCTAAGCAGTTAAAACACACCCAACAGGCTGATGCTGTTTTGTTCTACTTGACTGTACCTCAGTTCCAAGTCCCTTGTCACAGTCTGTGAGGAGGAAAACCAGCTTTCCAAAGCATGGAAACCCCCCACTCACACCTAGTTGCAAGACCCATTCCTTGGCTTGCAGTTGCTTGATTCTGTTCATCATTAGAATGGCTCAAAACATTCAGCCTTTTTTTTTTTTTTTTTTTTTTTATGGCTGAGAGAATAGATCTATTTTTACAACAAATAACCTGGCATCAAACAGATGAGAAAATTAGCTGGTTCACACTGCAGAACAAAACAATTTTGCCACGGCATAAAAGAGCACTTTCCAGTTAAATACCCAACAGGTTCAGATATCTGTAAGCTCAACTTCTTTTACAGAGCAAATCCAAATACAATCAGGGCTTTATAACCACTCCAGGCACAGCCCTAAAAGCTATAAAGCATCTGATAGAGACTTTTAGTCAGCCTTACTGTTTTACTCGGAATTAAAAAATCTGAGGAAACCATTTTTCTTTACTGGGGAAAAAAAAAGCCACTGCCCTGTCTGAAAGATGTTTTCTAAACAAGAAAACATTTAAAATACATTTTATATCCAGCAAATTCCTCTTTCACAACCTATTAAAATGTTAAAAGCAAATGCCACCATGGGTACACTGGTCAGATTATTGCAAGACTCAAATCATATTATTTCTATTTATTTATTGGGGAAAAAAAAAAAAAAAAAGAGCTTGGCATTCTGGTTTGGATCAGCAACAGTGTGGCCAGAGGACTAGGGGAGTGACCTGTTCACTGATGAAATCACTCCTCCAATCCTGTTTGGATTTGGATTCAATACATGAAAGGGTTGGAGCATGTCCAGAGAAGGGAATGGAGCTGGGAAAGGGTCAGGAGCACAAGTGAGATCAGAATTGGCTGAGGGAGCCGGCGGGGGGGCTCAGCCTGGAGCAAAGAAGACTCAGGGGGGACCTCCTCGCTCTCTACAACTCCCTGAAAGGAGGTTGTAGCCAGGTGGGAGTTGGTCCCCCCTCACAGGTAACAAGCCACAGGACGAGAAGAAACGGCCTCTAGTTGCACCAAGGGAGGTTTAGATTGGACATTTGGAATAATTCCTTCATGGAAAGGGCTGTGAAGCATCGGAACAAGCCATCCAGCTGTGGCAGATAATGACGTGGTGGTCCTGGAAGTGCTGGGTTAGTGGCTGAACTCAATCCTAAAGGACTTTTTCCAACCTTAATGATTCTACGAACACATTTAGCCACAAGTGCATCTTCTTTGCTGTTTCTCCCATTGCCATACATGTATTTCTGATTACAAGAATTTATACTGAGGGTTGATGAATACTGGCAAGCAGAGTGATGGATGTAAAGGCTGAAACGTTCAAAGGCTGCAAATGTTTTTAATCTAATACAGTTACTTCTGTCTTCTGTTAACTTGCACTGAGAAAAGTCCACTTGAAGACAGAAAGTCTCCCCAGAATTGGAGTGGAGCTCAGTTCAACTTGCCAGGCTGATGCCATGCACAGCAAAAATAGTAACAAGGGCTGCTGGTTCATTAACAAGTGGTAGATAAGAAACAGCTGGAAGTGCAAATATAAATATAAATTAAGTATCCTGCAAAATAAGTTTGAACAGTTTGCTCAGCTGAAAAAAATGGAAAGACTGAGGAAACAAAATATATGGTTCACCACAAATTATCAAGATGAATATTCAAGTCACTATTCTGACAAGGAAAAAAATATAAAGAAGAAAATTAGGAAAATCTGAACTTCAAACATGTCTTAAGGGAAAGAGATTCTTGGAACAAGAAGGAGAAGGATCAATGTCAGAGGGAACGGTTTTCCAAGAAAATCATCAAAATTAAGATGTTCCTGTATCAGGAAGCACCTTCCACCCTGATGGGTTTGTGTCATCTGTGAGCACCAAATATCCCACAGAAATTAAAACTGGGATTAAAAAAGAAAAGGGAGTTATACCAAGAGTCTTTCTCAGAATCCTAACACTAGAAGCAATAGGTAGACAACCCCAGATTTAATGGTAATTTTACATAAGATATAAAACCAGACAATGGGTAAAAGGGTGAGAAAGGGGAACCCAAATAATTACAAAGAGAAGGGGTGAGGCAGAAAGAAAGAGAAACATCGCTGTAACAAGATTTCTTATGGGAATAATTTCAAGAAATATGAACTAATAATAATAAAAGGGAAAGAGTTACGGCACAAGTGATTTTGAAGGTCAGCTGGGTTGTGCTCACTGCTTCAAAGCACACCGTTCCTGCAGCTGTCTTCAGAAAGTCACCGCACCTAGACTAGAGATCTGGGTTTGAGGCACCACCTCCCAGTAATTTCACACCTTTGGTAAATGTCAAATGATCTGTGCAATATGCATATTTTAACAAATGTCATTGCGCTTCAAAAAAAAAAAAGGAAAAAAATTCACTTTGCACTCCGTGACATTGAAATTTAATGAGCAGCAGGAAAGGAAACCTCAGTCAGCCTTGCCTAGAGAGAGAATCTGAAGGGGACACAAGCCAGGTACAAATGCACCGAGGCACAGGAGGCATCCCAAGAAGTGCCAGGGCCAAAGAAACCGCGGATGAAAATTATTTAGGAATACGAAGTCGAAGCGTGGAAGGCAGAAACGATCTGTCAGATCACACTGACCACAGAGCCTTTAGGAAGGAAGCTCCTGGTAAGAAGTTGCCGTGGCTGACAGCTGCAAGAGGCAACTGTGAGAGCAGTTCAACTGAGTGCAGATGCTGCTGTCACCACTGTATACTGATCATTAGGTATGTTAAAAAAAGACAATATTCCATCTGTGTCAATACTTCTCTGTAGCACCTCTAAGCTTTTTGACCTCAAGTGTTTATGCAGCAGCCACATAACTTTTTGTACGTTTTCCCCCCCAGTATGTCTGACTTTTTTATCATCTGTTCAGGTCAAGGCCGTGTATTACCACGAGTTCATTAACCAGCCATCAGAAATGAGCCCCAGTCTGAGTTCCTTCATTGGTCCTGCTGGTCTGTAAACAAAAATGGCCCTCAAAGATGACTAATCCACCACTGGGTAAGAGTTCAACAGTGGTGAGTAAATATCTAGTTGCTAAGTGGACAAAAATAAAGTAACAGCATAAAAATGTAACCGCTTCCTTTGATCATAAAAAGACTACGGAGAGTCTGCAAGAAACTTCTACAGGAATACAAGGCCAAGACTTTTAATTCTTGATCTGCTATTCTGTGATGGTCATGAATATACTTGTGCCTGTAAAGCAAGAAATATTTGACTACTTGTATAAAAATGTACATTTAAGACTTTCCAAACAGAATTAATTAAAACCATTAACAAGCATCACTTCAGTCTTCAAAACCTTACTTTTAAAACAATTTATCACCTGAATTTTACATTATCCCTGATGACAACAAAAACCTTTCTACTTGCATCAAATTCCAGGTGAAACTTATTACAGGACTTAACCATTTTATAAAAATTTACAGTGTATCAAACTAACACATTCGCTACTTCAAACGGATCAAGTTCATGGCTGTGAGTTCTTTAAAATTGTTCTCAGTTTACAGAGGAATCCCACAGTGGCAGGTACAAGCCACGCATATATTCAAGATGCATTCAACAAATACAGCATAGTTCAGGAGTACTAAAAGAAAAAAATACTGTGCAATCACTTGGCAAGTTCGATACTTTGGAATATTAGCGATGCTACACATAAGAGACTGTTAACAGCAGTGTTTGCTGAGATAAAAAAAAAATTTCTTTAACAGCAGCTGAAGTTTTATTAGTTCTTTTCAAGACTAAGGTAGTTTTTTTTAAAGTATTTCAGGTGTAAATTTAATGGTAACAGCAGTGTAACACAACCATTGCTGCACCAGCACTGAATTTAAATATACCTGCTTCTACAGGAATTGGTTTCTCCAGGAGAAAAATTGTCTGTTTCCAGTGTGTTTTGGTACACTGGGGACCAGTTGAAAACGAGACCTGCAACAGAAGAGTTCAAGAGTTTGATTAAGAACAACCTTTCTGATATCACACCACATCAATCATTTTCCAAACACACACGCATATGAAGTCTTTGCTACAGCAAAACAGATTCTCTGCCAAGCACCCTGAGGCAGAAAAAAACCACACCATGCTCATCTCTCATTAAAATGCATAACCCCAAATACTCACCTTGTTCTGACAGTTCTTCTCAAAAAATATATCAAAGTAACCAGCAACTGCCTATAAAAAAAAAAAAAAAAAAAAAAAAAAAAAAAAAAAAAAAAAAAAAAAAAAAAAAAAAAAAAAAAAAAAAAAAAAAAAAAAAAAAAAAAAAAAAAAAAAAGAGGAAAACGTAAATATGGTAAAGGAATAACAGTGACACTCAAGAGAAAAAAATCTATGATTTATGTATACATTTATTAAGGAGTAGAAATTCTAATAAATGCCATGGGCAGGGACACTTTCCACTATCCCAGGTTGCTCTAAGCTCTATCTTACATGGCTTTGAAACCCCTCCAGGGATGGGTCAGCCACAGCTTCTCTTGGCAACCTGTGCCAGGGCCTCACCACCTTCACAGGAAAAAATTCCTTCCAATATCTAACAGATACAAAATATTCACACACAAAGCAGTGTACCCACACTTTCAGTTACAAGGTTTTTTAATGCTGGACTGCTTTTCTGACAAAAAAAACAAAAACAAAAACAAAAAAACAAACCTTGTGGGGGTTCCAGAAATCCAAAGTATTCCAATAAACAACTGGAAGATGCTAATAGAAGAGCATCCACTCCGGTTTCACCCCTGAAATCCTGTCCATGCTCACCTTTATTTGCTTTCTGCTGTCAAATGAGAAAGGCTAAAGCACCTCAGCCCCCGGGCCCAAGGCAGCTTGTGCTTTTCTGTCACATGTCAGCCTGGAGAAATGACCCAGAATGGAACTTTTGAGTCACTGCAGCCACAGCTGTGTCTAAGTTACTCAGCTGGGGACTCCCTGCATCCCTGTCATGGGAGGGAGGGACTCTCCCCAGGTCAGCTGTACTGCACTCAAACAAAATATGTACCAATTCAATGATGGCAAAGCCTGTGGCATGAAAACCCCCTGGAAACCACCTACCATAACCTCCCTCCCACTGCACCAGTATTTCTCTCCTACTCCCAAGATTAGGGAAGTGGTTGCTCTGAATAGTTAAATAGTTAAAATCATGAGTCCTGTAGCATGCCCTTCACACAGATTCACACAGAGGTCGTGAAGGAAAAAGAAAGTCAAACATGCTTACAGAATTAGGGCTTCGTCATTATGAAATAAATGTTCTGAACAATAGCTCGGCCATTCTGGTTTTTTCCTCTCCAGTCTAAATCCAGAACAGATTTCCCCAACACAGTGGAGAATACATTGTGTTAAAGCAGTAAACCAATGCTAGAGCACCTGTGTTAGCTTTTCAACCAAGAGCACTCCAGGGAAGCCTGGTAAGTTCCAAATTCCAGCACGGCCAAAGACTTAAAAAAAACCCAACTATGGAGACACCAACAGACCTTCATGACAAATGAACATCAGACAGTGTAAACAGTGACTCTTCCAGTCCCTCAGTAAAGTCCTATCACTCAATGCTGAGAATCTCATTCTCAAGTGAATTACAGCCTTGCCTCTAATGTGACTTTTTGAGTAAAGATTGAGAAGGTTTTGACAAAGTTTTATTGACCCATCAGACTACTTTTATTGATGCACAATGTTTCCTGGACATTAGTCGGAGATCTACAAAGTCATAAAAATATTTTTTCAGTCATCGGGTCAATACTTCTGGTGTGCTTACAAATAAGACCTAAGATAAGATCACTGCAGGAAAACAAGGTTGTGACAACAAAAACACATCAAGGAGAAAAAAAAAAATCTGGTCTCCAGAGAAAACAAGACAATCAAGCCACATCTTGGATCAAAAACCTAAAAGCTCCAAGTAGACAGACCACAGCCAAGCATCTATACACTTGGTAACAAGAGGTAACAGAAACACCCTATATGCTACCCTGAGAAAACTTCCCCACCCTACTATTTTCTGGGGACAAGTTCGGGTTGAAAAGAAACTCAGTTACAAGCAAAACTGTTCCCTGCTGCCTCCTGTGCTCAGGGAAACAGGATTTGTATCTTCTGTAAATGACCCGGATAAATAACCACTTCATTCTTTACAGTAACAATGGTTCCCTATCTGAAATAACCCCAAAGACTGACTTGGAGTATCAAATCAAGAGGCAGTAACAGTAATTATCACACATCACAAAGACCACCTTAATCAGAGGTCCAGGGATAACAGAGCAAGAGTCTACACTGATACATTAATTTCTGTTTGTTATGTTCTAAAATGGATAGCATCCCTCAGTATTGAAATAAGTGTTGAGCCAAAAGAAAGAAAATATAGGAAAATATTACTCCTCAAGCTCCTGTGAACAGCATCAGGCATTTCCCAAATTTCTGTCAGTTAAAACTGGGCAGTGGAGGCATCCCAAAATCAAGACAGGCACTCCAGTGAGCTGTGTCAACAGGCAACCTACAGAGTCCTACACAGCAAAGCAGAAATTATATATTTTAAGTTAAATACATAGAGGAGAGAGTTTAAATGATGTTTTGAAAACTAACTGTAAGAACACATACTGCAATTGAGAACCCTAATGAGTATCTTTCACTAATACATTTTCAAAATGGTTTGGAGCCACCTAAAAGAACCAAACACCTGGTTTGATGATTTGCTTTGTGAAATTGGTCACAACTGTGCAGTTTGCTTTCAACAAACATTTTCAGGCAGCCTGCCATCACTTACCAACACTAAGTTTAATCTCCATGTATTATCCCCCTCATATTTTAAACCTTTGGGAAAACAACAAATCTAACACCAAACCCCGTAGTTAGTATTCCCTGCAACAGCTATTCTACAACCCAACTGCAGGTGAGAAAACACAGAGAGTGGAAAAAGCACAGAATAAATACATCCCACTTGGATGCACCCAGCCTGTGGCTGACCCTGCAAAACCAGAAACTAAAAAAAAGTTTAAACCTGCAGTTCAACAGAAACACAGTTCTTTGCAGATACCAAGGGAACAAGGGTAAGCTCAAGTCTATGCTAAAGCCTCCCAGTAACTCCAGTCTACATTAACTACCTTCTTCTTTTCCTCTTTTTGATTTCACGTGGAAGGTTTCACATGCTAAGATTACATGTGTTCCCCTGCCAGTAACATCTCTTTGAAAGGTATTCACTTTATCCAAATTATGGAATATTATCGTGAGGTAAGTTCAGTTTTATTCCCGAACAGACACCCTACAGGCATTATTAAATTCAACAGCTCTCTATAGCTTCTGCACATTCCTGTGCTCATCCAAACACTAAGCAATGCTTCAATTTTTAATTACACTGTTGGTGTGCTGAGATCTTTCTGCTTTTGAGCTGTTCTGTCATACCTGACCTGCCCCAAGCCTAAGGGATCTCAAAGCCAGCTATACAGATACCCACAGACTCATCACAAAGAGCACCCCTGGGCCTTCCTAAAACCTGCCAGGTGATTGATTCTGTAGAAGAATAAAAGCAATTGGAGCAACTGGCTGCTCCAGGCTTGGACTGAGTGTGTTCTTCACCGAGTACACCACTAGCTGGAGGGCAGAGCCCAAAAAGTGCTGGGGAATGAAGTTAAATCCAGCAGGACCAGGGCAGTGACCAACCCTCCGCACTCAGCACCTCAAATCCTGTGCACAGTTTTGGGCCCTTCACTGAAAGACACAAAGCGTGTCCAGAGAAGGGAATGGAGCTGGGGAAGGGGCTGGAGAACAGGTAGGATGAGGGGTGGCTGAGGGAGCTCAGCCTGGAGAAAAGGTGGCTCAGGGGGAACCTTCTCATTCTCTACAACTTCCTGACAGGAGGGTGGAACCAGGTGGGGGCCAGTCTTGAGGAAACGGCCTCAAGTTGCACCAAGGACGGTTTAGATCAGAGATTAGGAATTACTCCTTCATGGAAAGGGCTGTCAGGCATTGGAACCGACTGCCCAGGGAAGGAGTGGAGTCACCACTCCTGGAGGGATTTAAAAGTCACCCAAATGTGGCACTTGGGAAGGTGGTTTAGTGCTGGACTTGGCAGTGCTGGGGGAATGGCTGGACTCTGAATCTTGGAATCGTTTAGGCTGGAAAAGATCTTTATGTCTCTGGAAAAGTACTGAAGGATACAAAAGTGTAATGCTTTATTATTTGTCCTCTCGGTGTTTTGCAAAAAGCCATCTATAAAACATTAGAATTTCTGCTTCTACATGAAGCAGAAGGAATCCCAGAGTACTCTGAGTTGGAAGGGACCCACAAGGATCATCGAGCCCAACTCTTAAGTGAATGGCCCACATGGGGATGGAACCTGCAACCTGGGCATTATCAGCACCACGCTCCGACCAACTGAGCTCACCTGTTTGGTGCTCTCCTTGAAAAGAGCTGTGCAAAACTAAAATGTCTGGCAGCACTAAGGAGTCTGTTTCAACACACTCAAAAAACCCCTAAAGCAAAACAACCACTATCACTTTTAAGGTGTATTAGTGTAAGCACTGCACCTCTCCAGAAATGATCTGGTACCCCACACATTAATGCACTGGGAAAAGGAAAAAAAGGGTCTGAAGATGATGTTTTCCACAATTTTATCTACAATCAGTAGTCCTGTATATTTAATAAAAACAGAATCTTACAAGTCTAAAACCCAATGCAAATCAAAGTTTAAATACTTGAAAATAATAAACTAACATAAAACTGTGGGTTTGGTTACTTACTATCTTCTTTTAAGGAGTTTATATCTTCCCTCACATCTTAGCTTCTTCTCTTTTTTTCATTCATTACTTGTTGGTGGGTTTATGCCAAAATGCACAGTACCTACATAGCTTTTATTTTCAAGTGCATTTCAGAGAAATAGTTCTGTAAAAGTGAAGTTCAAAATATTTTCCTTTCATTTCACTTTTGAACACTACCACAAATTGCAGTAGCTACAAACATCTATTAAATATGCAATACTACAAACTAAGATTTCCAATGTTTACAGATTGAAGGAAGATTAAGTCTTCCCCTCTTCTTGTATAATTTATCACATGCAGCAAAATATGATGCAAAAAAAAAAAAAATCACTTAACTGGCATACTAGAAGCAATCACAGACACAAGTGTATTAAAATGAAATACAGGGCCGGCCAGATTTTCATTAAAGGTGACATCTTTTTTTACAAGAAGTCAAACTAA